CGGGGTGGGCGCCGCTCGCTCACCTGGGGCGGGAGGAGGCTTTGGCGGCGGCGTCTCCCGCGGCGCCCTCCTGACACTGCCGCCTCCTCCGCGGCCGGCTGCAGCGCGGTGGCTGCTGCCCGGCTCGCAGTCCCGTCGGCCCCGCGTCCGGGGGGCGTGTGGTTAGGGTGTTTTCTTCTCCGCACGCAGGCTTCTGTTCGCAGCTGTGTCTTTCACTTGCTCTTCCCTTTCCTCTGGCGAGCACTGCCCGGCTGCTGCTCTTGTAGATGCTTGTGGTTTTGTAGCCGGGCTTCGCCCTGGGCAGATTTCTACCTGTAAGGAATGACCGCTCTTTAAAGTTGACCGCCTGAACCAGACGAACTCCCCGTTCCCCGCCTAGATTGCGGGTGTTTAGTGCCCTGGTAAGTGAGTCAAAGTTTCTGAGACTGTGCTGGTACTTTGCACCGGTCGCCAGTGGTGCTGGGATGGGCAGTGCGTCAGCATGTGGAAAAGGGCCACAGGCCAGTGGGAGGTGACCGGGAACCAGGGGACTGAACGGACAGGCTTCATTTCTGATCCCAAGGGAATGTGTCCAGGTGCTGGTGTATTCTTCTTGGATCTGGCGGAGTTATCTTAGAAAAATGTGCTAAAAACGGGAGGATCACTACAGAATCCCAGCTGCGTAGCGAGACCCTGTACCAAATACATTAATTTTAAGTGGGCACTTTCAGAATTGATGGTTTCATGGAAATGAACTGAAATGTCAACCTCATTACATTGATGGTAAGGAAAACTTATGCTTGGTTGACAAATTTCAGTGCTGTTTGGATACATTTCAAGGCTAGCATTTTTGGCGATGGAAGGTATATGGATTTTTACTACGTTTAAATTTCCTTGTGTGTGTTTGGAGATAAGTAGTTGTGTGAAACGATTTAGAAAGCAGTATTATGAAAATCTTTTTCATAGGTTTGTTTACATTTGGTGTCCGCTGCACTTCTGTAGACTGCTGCTCTTCTGCTGCACTTGTGTAGTTATGATGTCAGAAGATGTGGACACGAAGTTAATGGTCAAATTGGAAGTGAATTTTGCCTGTGGAAAATACTGGTCTACAAGCTGCTAGCACTGGAAAATTGACTTGTGATTCATTATATCCATAGAGCTTCCCTTATGAAACAGTCGAGATTGCAAAGAAGACTAGATGAGCTTAGTATTTATATCATCATCAGATTGTACTGACTGATCACCTCCTTAGGAAATTAGCTAAGACTTTGAGTTCGATTGGTATCTATAGTCAGTTGAGGATGTATTCTAATATTGTAAAGTCATCTGAGAAGAAATAGATGAGTGCAGGGCTTATTTGTGATCATATTACATAACTTACATTGTATTCTAGAAAGTTGGAAGCAAGATAGTAGATTCCAATAATATTAGGGCAAATGGTAACATTTAAACCAACCTAGAAAGGTGTGACTGTAAATGTATGAGATTTCATTATATTTGGTCTGCATTACTTCATAAGAAGTATGGCATAGTTGTGAAGTTTTGAGAACTTTTCTTTCATTGTTTCATAATCCATATCATTTTGTTTTCATTCTAGAAGTTATGGTGTGGTTTTTTTCTTCTTTGAATGATATAATTTTATGTGAGCCAGAAGTTTTCATGTTTACCAGTTCACCACTTCTGAATATATAACTAGTAAAAACTTGTACTTTTTTTCTTTGCCTTAACCCAAACTTGAAATTGCTTATTTACTGTGTGTGTATTTGAACTTTCAGATGGTGTGACATCAAAGCTGAGAGTTCTAAGGCTGGGGTTACAGCTCAGTGGTAAAATGCTTGCCTTGCATATATGAGACGCTGGATTTTATAGCCAGTACCCTAATATGGAAACTAAAAACCCCAACACAAAAAACAAAAGTATTTTTTTAAATCACTTTCTTGGAGTCAAAAGAAATAATTGCATTTTAGCAAGTAAAAATATTATGTAGAGATAGCCAGGTTTATAGATACTGAGAGTAGTAGCTAAGTAGGAAACATTTCTTACACAGCATTGGGGGTATAGGACTGGGCCCGCTTTCCATCTTACCTTCATCTTCAAATAGTAGGGGGCTGATCATTACTGAATGAAGGGTGTTGGGGATTGAAATCAGTACTATAGCATACAGGATTCTGAGACACAGCTTTTTTCCTTATGTCTCACAAGTTTTAATAAAATGCTATATCTTTATTTGTTTTAGTTACTGTGTCTCTCCTTGCTGAGATAGAATACCCAACATCCAAAGTGAAAGGGAAAAAATGTTTTATCACAATTTGTGGAGGTTTTGGTCTATAATCTGCTGGCTCCAAGGCAAGGTGGAGTGGCAGACAGGCACCAGAGAGGGCAAACAGCTTGTGGTGGGCAGCAGGTAACAAAGCAGCAAGGGAAAACCGCAGCTTTTTCTATCACTTATATCCTATTCAGGCTACTTAGGGTGGGTAGCACTCGCACCTGTAATCCTAGTGCCCTTGATAGCACCATGAATCAGTTCAGTGTTACACACTGTACATTCAGCCACCTCTGACAGAGCCCCATGTATGACTCAAATGAGGCTTGCAGGGGGCATCTAAACACAAGCAATAACATGCTACATGCTTATAACTTGTCTTAGGGATTTCTTATGGGAATAGTCTTTTTTTTTTCCAGTACGGGGGATTGAACTCAGGACCCAGTGCTTGCCAGGCAGGCGCTTATTCTACTGAACTATCTCCCTGGTCACTCCACTACCCCCCGTCCCCCTTTTAATGTATTTGGTACAGGGTTTTACTATGCAGCTCAATTCGTAGCGATCTTCCTGTTTTCAGCCTTCCCAGCGCTAGGATTACAGGTGTGCACCACCACTCCTGGTCTCTGTTGCTGGCTCAGCATTCCCACGGGGCCTGAGCAAGATGTGGTGCTGGGAATCAAACCCCAGTCCCTGTGCTTACCTAAGCAGATGCTTAGTCCACTATCTCGCTGGCCCAACATACTCAATTTTTAGAAAGAGACTTAATGTTGAGATTATGGAAAAAGATAGTACTTGTCTTGATTCTCATCTTGTCAGAATGAGAAATAATTTTTAATTTATAGATCGTATTGGGATAGGGTATAAAATAAGTATGTAGACATCAGTGGACCCTAATAAGAGTTAATGGAATTAGGCAGAATTTGTATCTCAACATTCTCTATTTTATACTTCATTTATTTTCATATTGCTGTTACTCAACAGACAAGATGCCACCATTGTTTGGGTTTAGCTCATACTGATTCTTTTTTGTTATTTTGTTTTATGGTGTAATTTTGGGGGTTTTCCTGGGAAACTTTTAGGCATACATGAATACTCATTCATGTATTCTTTGACTTAGCTATAGACTAGGATTATTAGTGTACTTGAAATTCTAGCTGTTTTCTTTTTTTAAAAAGCTGTTTTATTTTCTAAAGTCTTAAAAATAGCAGAATTTTTTTTTATAAGTACTCATGAAGAATTTGGTCACAGGCTGTGTTGTTGTGATAGACAAGAGTACAGCCAAAAATATATTCAAGAAACCTCTCCCTTTCTTACCCAGTTTAGGAAGCTTAAATAAGAAGTTAGAAATTTTTTTTCCCCCCAACAAAAGCCTAGTATTCCCAGAATATCAGCTCTAAAAACTGGTTGCTGAGCTGTTTTTCTTCTTGCCTATGCAACAAGTACTATGTGTCTCTTGTCCATGGCAAAATCTTAATTCTAGAAGGGGATTCTTAGTAATAAAGATCCCAGTGAGGAATGCAAGGTTGTACTGAAGAATTTGACTGGGAGACATTGGGTATGAAAAATTTACTTTTTTATTTTTATTACACTAGTTTTCTCTGTGCTAGACTTCTCAGTTGGGTGGGGGTGTGGGCACAAATATAAGAATTACTTGTATTTTTTCTTTTATACCATAATTTTTTTTTCTGTTTCCCCAACCCATTGCTTAGTGAGTCCTTGTTATTAGTAGAAGTGTGCTGTGTCTTTCATGTGTCTTTCATGTTCAATTTTAAATTGAACAAAGGCTGTGAACCTTGACTTTGGCTGATGATTCCTAAACCAGTTCCTACTCCATGTAATTTATTTGCTTTCAGATGATATTGATAGACATCTGCTACTCTAATTTTAGAAGGGGAATATGAATTTTAAAGAGACTAGCTTTGTAATCTAGAACAAGATTTATTGAATTGTATAGTACTCATGTAGGAGACTAGGAATTTTTTTAGGTGAACACTTATTCAACTGCTTTGACTCTGACCCACCATGAGAAATGTATTTTCTTTCTTGTTTCAACATGCATTTGTGCACAAATGCAAAAGTGAAAGAAAACTTTGGTGAAATGAATGCTTTTTTATCTTTTCATGAAGGGCCTTGCTGAGTTGGCTCATACTGCTTGTAAGAACAGTTGCGCATATCTCTTCCCACCTAGTCTCATGTCAGTGATACCATGTTGTAGCTTGAAATTGGCCATGGTGGGGGGAGTATTTATACCAGGGAGGTCAGCAAATGGTGTAATTCTGCCACCTCAACCATAACATAGCAAATTATCAAACTTTCTTTCTGTCTATCCATATATCCTACCTCCCTACCTCCCTACCTCCCTCTTTTCTTTTCTTTTTTTTTTTTTTGGTGGAACAGGGGATTGAACTTAGGCCCTTGTGCTTGCCAGGGAAACGCTTATTCCACTGAGCCATCTCCCTGGCTCCCCTCCCCTCCCCTTCCCTCCTGTCTCTTTCTCTCCCCTCCCTT